GGAGCACCCCACAAGCTTTGATGTATTAAAAAAACTACTTATTAGATTTACATAAATTATCGGTGAAAGTTTGCATGGTAATGTACATATATTTATTTAGTTTTATCATTCTCTTATTTCGAGGAACTCGATGGCGCACGTGGTTAGCGCGTTCGGCTGCGGTCGTTGAAGTTGAGCAACTTTCGCAGTGGTCGGTCATTGGATGGGTGACCAAAAATTTACTATCTTGAGCTCCTTCGAGCTTCGGATGGCACGTTAAGCCGTTGGTCTCTGCTACATATGCAGTCGTTAGCACCCACCAACCCGCACTGGGCTCGTGTGGTGGGTCATGGCCCAATCTCCCTAATCCATCCATAGGGAAGGCATGTGTCCCAGCAGTGGGGACAATAATAGGCTGATGATGATGATGATTCTCTTATTTCAAAAGTTACAGAGGGGAGGGGAAAACAGCAATATCATTTTTCCATCCATAGATAGCCCTTACGTACGGGTTTGATAAAAAAATATTTTGAGTTTCAGTTCTAAGTAGGCATCCCCCAAAATTTACATTTTTTTTATATATTTTTGTGTGAAAATCCTAATGCTATTCACAGAGTACAACTACTACTTACCAAGTTTCATCAGTATAGTTCTTAGAGTTTCGGAAAAAGTGGCTGTGTCATACAGACGGAGGGACAGACAGACAGATGACGAATCCATAAGGGTTCGGTTTTTTTGCCATTTGGCTACGGAACCTTTGTAAATACTACCTTTTGGTGATGTCGTGTTTCTGTCGGTGATTAAAGTTTCCAGATCTCCAGTTAGTAGAAGACGAGGTCAGGTTAGACAATGTGCGGGTGATACTTTGGTATCACAAGTACATTATTGACTGGTACACTTAGAATGTATGGAATATGCTTTTTGACATCAAAAATAATAAATATACCTACAGAAACTGTTAAAATTGTAGAAAACAGTATTGTCACAAACAGTCGAGATACAAATATAAAAACTAAGTACTTTTAATTTCGAACTCCATTCCGACACGTAACAAATATCAGACTCTACTTTTTATAAATAAAAACAGTATTGTCACAAACAGGCGAGATACAAACATAAAAACTAAGTACTGTTAATTTCGAACGCCATTCCGACACGTAACAATATCAGAATCTACGTTTTATAAATAAAAAACAGTATTGTCACAAACAGTCGAGATACAAATATAAAAACCAAGTACTTTTAATTTCGAACGCCATTCCGACACGTAACAATATCAGTATCTACGTTTTATAAATAAAAAACAGTATTGTCATAAACAGTCGAGGTAAAAATATAAAAACTAAGTACTTTTAATTTAGAACGCCATTCCGACACGTAACAATATCAGAATCTACGTTTTATAAATAAAAATAAGACCCTTGTCCGGTAGAAAATGTGATAGGAATACAAATTGTACATTAATAATTCCGTTTATGGCCAATTATAAGAATGTATTGTGTAATAAACATTAATAATACTCCAAAAGAAATAATGAAGTTTCCTCATGATCTGAGATTAAATGACTCTTTTCCTTTGAAACTTTGTGATAAAAAGTTTATTTATCGTTCGTTACTTCATCCGCGTTAAATTTTTCCAGGGTATAAAGTATCTTATGTCTGAATCCGGGTCATAAACCAAATTTCATCTAAACCCGTTCAGTAGTTTTTGCATGATTGAGTAACAAACAGACAGACATACAAACTTTCACATTTATAATGCGAATGTTAGGTTTAAATCTCCCAAAGGGTTACTTTTATTTAGCTTAATTTCGTTACTTGACTCCAATAATTGTAATTTATTTGCTTTATATTCAGATAGCCATGTCACTATTAATTTATTTGTTTAAACTTCATTGCCAAACATAAGCAAACGGTGGACTTAATGCCATAAGCATTCTCTAACCGTATGTGTTGGAGGCAAATAGTATGGCAATAGGGCAAAGATGCTAAAAAAAATAAAATATATAATCACTGCAATAAAATAATAATACTTAAATACAAATTAATGCATATATATATAAAATACTCATATAACCATACATAAACATACACATAAATATATATATATATATAGGTACATATGCATAAATAAGATAAAATAAATATAATATACCAGTGGCCCGCCCTCGCTTCGCTTCGGGGTAGAATTGATCAAAATCCTTTCTTAGCGGATGCCTACGTCATAACATCTAGCTGCATGCCAAATTTCAGCCCGATGCATCCAGTGGTTTGGGCTGTGCGTTGATAGATCACTATGTCAGTCAGTCATCTTTGAGTGTTATATATATAGATATCGATGCAAACTATAGGGAAATATCACGTAGTCAGGTAGTGTTCACGCACAAGTTTTTTTTAACTTAAACTTATTATAAGTACTATGTATGCTTAGTGTTAGAGCATCCCATCGGCAGTGATAGTGAAAGATTTGTATCCAAAACCAGAATGATTAACGGGAATATGTAGTGTGAGATTTCTGTACGAGCGAAGATCACGTTGATTGGAAGTGCCCAGAAATTGGAATTTAAATTTCAGGTGGCACTCTGGAGCACATGGATCTATTAAGCTCACTAAGCTATGCGGAAATAAATAAACACAAATAAAATCTTGACCTTTTTCCATTATACGACCGAGGGATCGCTATTATTGTGAGGGATTTAGTTGATCGTGGGGAGTGTCCGGTGGGCACTGCTGTACTATTCTGTAAGAACAGTCGCAGACTCACTTTTCGTGTTTTACACACATCGCGGATTCCGAGGTGAAAAGTGTGTTTGTTGTTACATTCTTATAATTGGCCATAAACGGAATTATTATTGTACAATTTGTATTTTTATCACATTTTCTACTGGACAAGGGACTTATTTTTATTTATGAAACGTAGATTCTGATATTTGTTACGTGTCGGAATGGCGTTCGAAGTTATAAGTATTTACCCGTTATATTTTTATCCCGACTGTTGATTAATGTAATAAACACAAATGAAATCATGACCTTTTTCCATTATACTACCGAGGGATCGCTTTTATCGTGAGGGATTTAGTTGATCGTGGGGAGTGTCTGGTGTCCACTGCTGTACTATTCTGATAAGAACAATATGACAAACTCACTTGTCGTGTTTTACACACATCGCGGATTCCGAGGTGAAATGTGTGTTTGTTCTTACATAATAGCACTGTTGATTATTGTAATTGATTCGCTTTATTTTCAGATGGCCATCTCACTATTAAGCTATGCATAAATAAATAAATACAAATAAAATCATGACCTTTTTCCATTATATGACCGAGGGATCGCTTTTATCGTGAGGGATTTAGTTGATCGTGGGGAGTGTCCGATGTCCACTGCTGTACTATTCATGTTTTCATTTCATCGCGGATTCTGAGATGAAAAGTGAGTTTCTTCTTACAGAATAGCACTGCTGATTGGAAAATTAGTAGATAGGGTTTTATCTGTTTTTTAATATAATTTTATAACATAGAATTAGGATTTGTACACAAACACAAAGATCTCCGTTGTCCAAAGAAAAAACCTTTTTTGCACTATATATTTCGTAGAGTTATTTCAACTAAAATTACAATATGTCAATAACATATATTTAGTACCTATACGAGAAATGTTTTTTATACCGACACAATAAATAGTTAGTTCTCCATTAAATATGATTTTTATTTATTTACCAAAACTTTAGATAGTAAAACTTTAACACCTAGACTAGTTACTTTACTGGATTTAAGATTTACATATTAAAATAAAAATAAAATTATTTGTAGTTTATAAAATAGACAGTTCTTAGGTTACTATATTATTAAGAACTAGTGGCCCGCCCTCACTTCGTTTCGGTATTTTATCCCCTTGGGGGTAGAATTGATCAAAATCCTTTCTTAGCGGATGCGTACGTCATAACATCTACCTGCATGCCAAATTTCAGCCCGATCCGTCCAGTGGTTTGGGCTGTGCGTTGATAGATCACTATGTTAGTCAGTCACCTTTGAGTTTTATATATATAGAAGATTTAACTGCTAGGTAGAAAAAGTGCGTTCGCCCCGATTGCGAGAGGTGTGGTTTCGAATCCTAGACCGAGTGATTTTTTTTTTGTAGTAAAGATTTTCTTTTGTTGCTTTTACTTATTTAATTTAAATATGTTAATTAGAAATCTCTAGCCAAGTAGAAGCATCGACCCAAAAAGTTTATGAAACAAATATTACGAGCGTACAGAATATGCATAAGATATGGCTTTCTCGAGTATTCACAAGCAGAACATCCGACGTAAAAGCAAGCGTATTAATCATTCAAATCTTGCCAAAATATCAAGCTACTTCCGTCAAGGTTGCTTTGCAAAGTAGGGAAATTGTTACAGGTGAAATATTAACGCAAAGCTCTGCTCCGAAAATCATTTGAAATACCACAACCCTTCCCGTTTAACTTTTGTTTATTCGACGAACTCTTGGTATGTTTGTTCGAAGTTACTTATCCTGAAAATGAATAGGTTTGAGACTGGCATGTTGCAAACTAGTCAACCCCCTATCGGAGGAGGCTGGTGTGCTTTGCGATATGGTAGCAGAAATTATATGTAATAATTAAGTTAAGTGATTTTAAGATTGCATGGTCAGGTAACGATGGGGCTGGTATGGACAATTTGGTCCAAAAGTCCCTTAAAACAATAACAAAAACACGCAAGAGAAAATCAAAAATGCAATATCTAGCTTCACTACATTAATTTATTTTAATTAAATTGAAACCAACTATTCACTAATGAGCTAATCGTAGTCGTTTCAATATATATCACTCACAAGCTAGATTGTAAATTTGGATTATTCCATAATGATAACATAATATCTTTTTACTTACACAGATAGAGTTTATGAAGGGACAATGCCTACCAAAAGAAACTCATAACATCATCTTTTTCATTAAAGTGAAACAAATCGTTTCGCTCGGGAAGAGGAAGAATCAATTGTTGTATCAAATATCACTATAATTTACCTCCAAAACAGCATACCGCCAGATCAGGTATCCATTTAAATGCCTTCAGTGTAAATCGGGAACATAATAGTCACTTCGGGTTCACAACTAAACGTAACGACTATCACTTAGTCAGCGTACACAGTTAATATCTACAATCACTTTTACGACGCACCCGTACATACATCTTATTTAGGTACGACAGATTAATTTCGAGAAATCTGCACGAGACCGATACAGCCGTGCGCGCGGTACGAAGGCCGAACGTCGACTGAAGTTATTTCAAATAGGGGATGGGAACCTAATTTCCCGAGCGCGTTCCACAGGCAGGGTGAGAAAATTGAATGGGTGATGGTTTCTAGCTGCGATGTTAGATGGCGCTTTTCTAGTCTGCTTCTTTTGTTAACTGACACATTTCCACAATGCTCTTTGTTTTTAAAGGTGCTCTCACAATTAATTAAAGAAAGGTTTCCAGGTACACCTTTATTGCATTATCAACTTATCAATTTAATCCCGTGAAAATGTATTAGTAAAAAAAAGTATTTTCAAGGAAAACTTCCTCAAGATAAAACGAATTAAAAAAAATCTACCTATATCTTTACATCAAACGTAACAGGGAATATTTTATTTCTTTCAGAAAATCCGCTACGGATTTTACTCTTGCTTAGGGTTGTGCGATCCGATTAGAATCAGTTTGCAATGCAAATATTTTTTTTCTGCCGTTTCGACGTAAGGTAAATAAGTCCTACGGAGTGAGAAGACGAATAAATTACTTTATGGAATCTCGGTTGCTTCCGTGTCATACAAATCGTACTTTAAAATCAGTGTTATTTTCTTCACTAAATAATTCCTACATAAGTACTTTACGGGCGACGCGCTACGGGCGTAGCGCCTAGAATAGAATACAATAGAATAGAATATCTTTTATTAACCCGCATATTACAGATATTACACATTTACAGATACAAATTCAAAAAACACAGGTCTAACCAGGACTCTGCCTCAGTGCGACATTGTGTCGCACTAGCGCTGTTATTCTGACAGAGCCTGTTTAGTAACACAAAAAAAGACACGTTCATTTTTTTTTATTAATTGAAAGGATGTATGGACTTAGCATCCTTTGCTTTCAAGTAACAAAAAATAAAAATAAATAAAAGTCAATCAAAACAGCAAAGCCAATAGATAAATCAACATGCAAAGCAATGCAAGAATAAAATGAAGCAATTCATTTAATTTCAGCTTAAAAATTCATTTAAATTATAAATTTACATGATTGATAACGCAACCGCCACCCAAAAAAAGCGGTTACTCATATTAGCAATAAGCATAAGATAAGACCATGGGGTCCAAGCGCTCGTTCCTTCTTTAAGGAATTGTCTAAGAGTTCCGCAATGACAGCGATGAGGATGATTGGTCTTGACGCCGAGTTCAAGTGAAATGGCATGTTACAGAGCGCTCCTGTCAAGCAAACTCCCGATATTTGCTTGAACGAAGAGCTTGCAGCCAGTAACATGAAAGATCACTAGGAGGCTCACCTCAAGTTTAGCTACGTTTTCAGAGGAAGCTAAAAGATTACTCTGAAATCGCAAAAATAGTGACTAATTCTCTTTATTATCTGGAATATATATTTATATGTGTCCCGTACGAATATTTTTAGTAATAATAGGCTACTTGACATTTTTTGGTAATATGTTTTAAATGGTTAATCATTGTTCTATTAGAACGAAAAAATGTATTGTATTTCTTTTTTGACCTAGGAAGCTACAAAACTTAAAATTACAATATTTTAAAATAGATTTTTTATGGACATACAAAAACGCTGTAGGCCATTTTAGTCTATACATTATCTATGCTATGACGTCAACAAAATCGTAAACAAACATTTGGAAGCACGTAGGAAATAACCTGAATCTAAATTTATATTATAAAACCATGATTTCTATTCATGATAGATTTCATGCTAAATAAGATAATTATCATGATGGTATTATACGAGAATGTAGAAACACATCGTTAAAGACTCCAGGAAAGTTGTGGTTTACACATGAATTTTACCGTCTGAAAGTCATTTCTCTTAGCAAAGATCACTTTAATTTGAGTTCTCATTGAATAATATTTAAAGTTTAAAAATATATTTTTGAAGGCTATGAATGAAAGTTAAAGAGTTTTGTCAGTATTGCTTTCACAAATCCGGCGTCCAGCATTAATTTAGTGAACAAAACCAATGAACAGATTTTTTTCTACAAGATGTAAGAGATTTTAGATATATTTTAGTCCGACGAAAGACACCACAGTAACACTACAATGACGTTTAGTTGTTTACTACAACATTTACTAATTTGTTGACGTCACAATCATGGTGGACAGCGTTTCGAGTGTTTAAAAAGCATAGACTAAAAAACCATTTTTCATATTAAATTACTACAGTCATCTTCTAATTTTATGAAGTGAAATCGATGTATATAGGTTCCTCATACCAAACATTATTAGAAATAGACATTTGTATAGTGCAATTTGACATGAGTCAACTAGCCTATTGAAGCAATTGATATAAAATTTCATTTTAAGGAATCGTGTCAAGTCTTATTTGATATAAAAAGATGTCATGTTCACCCACAGTTTCACCATTAAATTTTATTTGCGCTAACTGGCTCTGAGTTTCCTTTGAGATTTCAATCAAATAATGATGTTACAGCCAAGGTAAATTGTTTAATCTACTCCTTATAAAACGTTTATGAACTTTATCTTTTACTACAAAAAATCCTTAAATATAAACGTAAAAACGTCTTTGAGTACATCTGAACTTTGCTCGAACAAACATATTTTCACCCCCAGCTTCTAAGCCGCCATTGTAAAACCTCCATGCCGCCCGATTCCAATAATTTCAGTCCAATAATTTTCATTGGAGCCGTAAATCAATGTTCTCAACAATAAGATAGAAAGTTCTCTCCTGGGACAAAACTGGGAAGCTGACGTGGTTCGGAGCGAAACCTAGCTATTGCCGTTTGGCTTAGTTAATAAGCGCCAAGCGTAAGTCGTAAGTCAAACAAACTTACCTGTAAGTGACGTTCGACTGATATTATACGATGCGATTCACCCGAGAGATTACATTTATTTCATTTGTAATAACACGCATTATGTGCTGCCATCGTATACTTTATAGATACGTCATCATCATCAGCCTATTAATGTCCCCACTGCTGGGGCACAGGCCTTCCCTATGGATGGAATAGGGAGATTGGGCCATGACCCACTACGCAGGCCCAGTGCGGATTGGTGGGTGCTAATGACTGCATATACAGCCGGAACCAACGGCTTAACGTGCCTTCCGAAGGACGGAGGAGCTCGAGATAGTAATTTTTGGTCACCCATCCAATGACCGACCACTGCGAAAGTTGCTTAAGTTCAACGATCGCAGCCGAACGTGCTAACCACTTGCGCCATCGAGCTCCTCTCATACGTCATACACGCTTCTAATTTGGCAATACGATAGTCGGGTAATTGCGCGACTGAATCGCCGCGGCTACATTTCGCTATAACTTATAAATGTTTGCGTTTTTCCACACAAAATTGGATTGTCAAATTTTGTATGGAAACTTGAACAACAACTCCATAACGGACGTAACGATAACTAAAAATCAGTACACATTTGACAATCACATTTCGTACTCGCAAACATTACGAATTCGATATGGGTTCTTGCTAAGGGTACTGCACCCTTTATGCGAGTTTTACAATTACGAAAACTATGATAGTTTTCTTGAGCTCGCACTCCTACTGAAGGTACTAATTTTATTGTTTTCCTATCAATACAAATGAACAGTGTATAAATTCTATCATTAAATCCTTTGCATCTTCTTAAATTTTATGTATATTTGGTTACTTATCACCAAAATGGACATAGAAACATAATTTACAATTACGAAAACTATGATAGTTTTCGTTAGCTCAAACTCGTACTAAGGGAGAATTTTTAAACTCTCGTTAACCAAAGAAAGCTAAGAGATTTAGGTTATACAGCCATATCTTCAGTAGCTTCATTATTTTTGTTATGTTTACATTATAACCATATTTTAGATTTTTAGTGTATCACACATTATAATGTGTTTATGGAGGTGTTTGGCGAAAAATGAATGACAATAGACTTTATGATGTCGCCTCCTATCTACAATAATTGTCTTAGCACATTTACGAAGTAGTGAAAATGATGATATAATTGTGGATATTAATACCACAGTGTAAGAAAAAAAAATGTTTTATTTTATCGATCTTTACAAAATAGATTTGATTTTATGTTATAATATAAACAACTTCGATCAGTCTTTGGCTGAATGTTACTACACCCATAGCCATTAAAAATGACTCGTATGTTTTTCAAACCGGTAAAATTAATAGTCCTTTTTAAAATGAATATATTATACAAAGGTGTCGGTCAAAATCTAATGACTGTAAAATAAATTACGCCAAGAATTACCGTATATGTCAATATTTTTTGTGCATTTGGGCCAATTTGAGCAATCTCCTTTGTGTGAAAACATGACTTAGAAACACACTGGTCGTACGCAACATTGCATATGGTAAATGTGTTTCCAAGTCATGTGTTTCCATACAAATTTCGTAGTTTAGATGTCACAATGCATAGCATACGTTGCGTACGTGGACTGAGCTTGTGTCTACCTTTAAGCATGAGAATGAAAGAAACTACTTTAGTGCGCTCTATTGGCCGCTGTTGCCAAGGGAAGTTGGGGTGGGGACTACTTGGGCCCTTTTAAAATGCAATCATGTTTAAATCTAAAGAAAAGTTTTACTAGAAAAAAATACCTACAATGCAAAGAGATGGCGCTGCCTTGCAGCTTAAGGCTAGGAAAATTTCGACGCGGCTAATAAAGCCGTGGTAGCATAATTGGTCAGTGCATTCGCCCGGACTGCGAAGGGTGCGGGTTCGAGTCCCGTCCGCTGCCTGGTCCGCGTGGATTTTTTTCTAGTAAAACTTTTCTTTAGATTTAAACATGTAGCAGTTAAAAGCTTAAAAAAACATAACTGCAATCATGTTGGCGTATAACCTGTACATATACATCTTTTAATGTCCCATCTGCTGGGGCACATGGCATCCCTATGGATGGGATAGAGAGATTCGGCGATCTCCACGCGGGCGTAGTCCAGTTTGGTGGGTGCAATGACAATATTTTTAACTTCGTTCTAACCGAGTGTTCCACGACACTCACACAATTTTTTTACGTTTTCAAGTCGAATTTTGTTTTAAATATCATGCGTGTTATAAGAAGGGGTATTAAAACACGAATGTTTGTTTGTCGATAATAG